TTGAAAATCGAGGTTAGTGGCACACGGGCAAGACCTCTGATGCCTCACAGTAAAAGTTGTTCCACATGCGTAAATAGAAAACTGGGTTCCCCGAGAAGATGTCTGAAAGTCGCCGCGACGGCGACTGCGACGGCGGCGAATGGGCCCATTTTATTGGCAAGCTAGTCGCGATCACTTTTTACCGTCCTTGCACAACCATGGTGCGGTGATGAGTACCGTCGTCGCGACAGTCACTTTTCACCGTCCCGGGGTGGTAGCACAACGCACATGCCGTATTAGCTTGCTGTGACTGCCCAGTCCTACGCCGTTGCTCCTCTCCTTCGCCTATACCTCACTAACTGGTCGTCTAACTGATCGTTGAAGCCTCTTCGACATTGGAGAAGACAGTGTACAGTTTAGTCGGGAGATTTTCGGCCTGGCCTTACACCTAGGCCTGGTATCTGAATTTACGTACAACGTTGCTGACCATCGACCTATCTGCCACGTATGGTTCGTGTGCCAAGCCTCTTCGGTTCAGTCGAGCGCCCTCGACCGACCTTAAGTGTTGCCTGTCGCATTCAGGCCACGAGACGTGCTCTGAGCGCAGCCACGTCGTCGACGTCTGATCTGAGACGAACGCCACCGACCGCAATGAGGAGGAACGAGGCTACTTGTCTTCACTGCCCAGTCGGTACGCACGGGAGCAAAAACAACACGGCCGGATAGCGCAAAGTAATGTCGTATAAACGCAAAAAACCGCCTACTTAAAAACTATACCACCTGCAATTAGATTAGTTAAAAAGTTATATCGACGGGACATTTTACATCGATGCAGAGGTATTCGGTCGGTCGGTCGGTCGATCGTTTGTTCGAACCAGTCTGTGTTCCATTTAAGATTTGCAGATTCCTATTCTGGAATCAGAAGTTAGCCCTCAGATGCAGCACAGAGGGTGCTCACCTTTTCTTGCCTGTCTGCCGTTTGTCTTGTTTTGTTTTCTGAATTATAAGTATAAACTGTGGACTTGGGATCAACATCAAAAGTAAGTTCCTTCACACCTTCGATGCACAAATCAGATAAACTTCTTTTGCGGGTCTCAGGCAATGCACTTGCTCAATTCTGAGGTACAATATTTGAAATGTATATCTTCTGATCCCAGTTCGCTTCATGTATCTCATCCTTTCTTAAGAACTTCGCATATCTTAGCTGTAATTCAACAGCTGTTTTCCATTTCATTGCCGACCAGTAGTATATTTGTTGGATATATAAACTATATCGTTGATACAAGTACAATAATCACTTCTCACCGATTAGCCTCCGCGATTTCCCCTCCATCAGGTCACTCCTCTGATCCCTTCTTGTTCCTAGAAATGTATGTTTCCATAAGGGAAGCCGATCGTTGAAGATGCCTACGATCGGCGTTGATAGGTGTTCACGGAAGTAAATTTTCGCGTGAAGATCTCTGACGATTTTCCGGCAATAACTCAAGTATGAAGGAACAAGAGCAAGGTCGTTTCGCTCTGAATACAGTTACCCGAATATAAGAAAATAAACATGCACGCAGCATAGAGGAAAAATTCGGCTTTGTTTCTTATACGCCCGAATCATGAGCATCATCCGCGTCGATGAGGCGACTGTATTGACGATTGCAATGGAGGACAGGAATCACAAAGCCTCACAGAGCCACTCGTGACCTTGTTACTCATCCCGCGATGGGTGTATATCGCGTTCAAGTTTTATTGGCGATCATAAAAAACCGCAAGTACTGCCAGGCACCTGTAGCTGAAATATGGCACGGCTCGCCCAATCATCACCGCACCAAATAAGGCCTGAACCGAACGACAACGTTCTGCGTGGTGAAGAAGATTCGGCGGGTTGACTCTGAGCCTCAGTTCGACTCTGGCTGGCTACATCGTAGTGTTTTGAACGATGCTGCGGTTCAGCACCTCACTTTAAAAGCACAGCACTTAAAGTTAAGTGAAAATTCTGTACTTAAGACATATTGAAGCTTATACTTCTGATCCCTCTCCATGG